TGTGTGTGTGTGTGTGTGTGTGTGTGTGTGTGTGTGTGTGTGTGTGTTGGGGATATGCAATAAAAGAAGGCCCCATGCTTGGGTCCGTAGTAGGTACCTAAGCATTCCTGAATAGAGACTGTGGTGTGGGTAACCAGAATACAGAATATTTGTGTTTGAGGACATTGTCAGTGTTGATCCCGGAGTCTGGTGTATACTAGACAAGCATGCTTCCACCCCAGAATTGTTTTACTTGAGCATGAATTGAAGAGACACCTGCCAGCAGATGGAATGGAACAGACACTCCGGTCAAGTGCACATAGAATGGTCTCCAGTCTAGTAGTCTAGACTATAAGAAGAGCCTCAATAAGTCTAAAAGGCTTACATCCTGCAAAATGTGCTTTCTGACCATGGCAGAGTAAAAACTTGAAATCAATAAAAATAAGAATTTGGAAAAACTCCAAGTATATGGGAACTAAGCAGTGCAGTCTTAAATAACCAGTGAGCCACAGAAGAAAAAAAAAAATACAGATAGCCTGTGTTCTCAGGCCTGAGTACTGAGACACTGCTTTCAATGAAGAGTGTTAGAAGTAAGTTCCAGGTCGAAAAGAAAGAGACTACTGTTCCAACAAAGTGTCTGGACAAGGGAAACTTCACCTCTCAAGCAAGAAGGTATGCTTAGAATAGGCAACACACAAAGACAGGAAGTGCGTTGGGGGGGGGGGTTGTTTGTTGATTTGGGTTTCGGTTTTTGTTTGTTTGTTTAATTTTTTTGGGTTTTGGTTTTTCAAGACAGGGTTTCTCTGTGTAGCCTTGGCTGTCCTGGACTCACTTTGTAGACCAGGCTGGTCTCCAGCTTGCAATGATCCACCTGCCTCTGCCTCCCTGAGTGCTGGCATTAAAGGTGTGCACCACCAAGTCCAGCTGTGTACCTGGTTTTTATTCTAATTCAGGTGGTGACTGTGTGTGTTCCCACTCTGGAGTTCAACCTCATAGTCTGAATTAAGAGAACTGGCACTCAGGAAATGAAGAAAGCCAAAAGAGGTCAGCAGTACAAGAAAAAATGAGTCACTGCTCCAAGTGACTCATTTTCAATTTCAATTATCAAATTCCTGGACAATGGACCTTTGTATAAACAAAGGTTTTAATTGGTGGGTAGAGAATTAAAACATTTGAGTAAAAGTCTTACAATTGAGGGGAGATAAAAAGATTTTAATTTCTTGTCCAAAACATGTTTTCTAGTATGTATGTATGTATGTATGTATTTATTTATTTATTGGTTTTTGTTTGTTTGTTTTGTTTTTGAGACAAGGTTTCTCTGTGTAGCTTAGGCTTTTCTGTACTTGAATTGTAGACCAGGCTTCCTTCGAATTCATAGAGATCCTCCTGTCTCTGCTTCCTGAAGTGCTAGGATTAAAGATGTGCACCATCGCGCAGGGCTGTTTTCTAGCATTTAATATAAAAATCTCACACTTGCTACTTCTAACAGGAGGAACCAAATAAATGTGCTATGGTTCTAGCCCATGAGTATCCATTTTACTGTTTACATTTGCAACACTACAAATTGATATGTAAAAAGACAAGCACGACTTGGCAAGATGTCTCCACAACCGAGTCTGACAATCTGAGTTTCTTCCTCAGTATCCACATGGTGAATAAAAGGGGAGAGACAGCCACTGCAAGTTGTCGCTGAACTTCATACCTGCACTATGGCATGAGTGCCCACCCCCAACATAAATGTTAAAAAAAAAAAAAAAGGACAAGAGTTTCAGCGATTAAGATTAGAGCATTTGGTGTTTTTGCAAAAATCCTGGGTTTGGCTCTGTCCTTTCACCACATGGGTCTGGGAATCACGAACGTCAGGTTGGAGGCAAACGCTCCTTTATCCTCCGAGCTATCTCTAATTAGAATAGCAGTTCTCTCCAGATGATTCGGGTAATCAACCGTTTCTAGACAATACCCACTTTTGAGAGTTGACAGTATTTAGTTTACTTACATCCTTCCTTATTTTCAAACACTCCCCCCCCCCTTAGATAACGCGGCAGCAGTGATGAAAATCTTTGCAAAAGAAGGAAATGAGAAAGCTATGTCACATTCCACCTTCAACAATAAGCTAATTTATGAGTTAAACACTAGATTATTGGAAGCCTTTCTGTGCATTCAATCCACCATTTCAAATTCACTTTTTAAAAAAATTATGAGCAGCACTATGCAGAGTGTCTAGAAGTTCGGGAGGATATCGACTCATTTCACATCTTTTGGCCCACAGAATTACTAATTTTCTTTCAGCAAGCACTGGGGACCATAACCTTAACAAACATGGCGGCCTCAGCTTCACACAGCAAGCGAGATTCCGTTCCCTGATTGTAGTAACACATCTAGACCCGGCCTATTTGTTGACGTCACTTCCTGCGCGCCACGCCGGTGAGTCTATAGCTCTTTCGGCTGTAGCGGCGTGTTTGCAAAGAGAAACTGTCTTCCGAGGAGATTCTCGCTCTCGGACCGCGAAGCGATGCAGACACTACCGACATGGAGAGAGAATGTGAGAAGTCTGTAGTCGCCGTTGTGACCGAGCCTCGGTTTACCCAGAGATACAGAGACTATCTCGAGAGACAGAAACTCTTGGATAGACTGCACCGGGCCGAAAAGCTGCGGGATGGCACGGTGGCGCTGCCGGTGCTGGCGGGAACCCTTTCTGAACAGCATCTGCAGGAGCTGAGGAATCGCGTGGCCCCAGGCAGCACCTGTACGCTGACGCAGCTCCTGGATCCTCTTCCTTCTAAAAAGGCCCTGGTGTGTTCACCTGCTCAAAGACTGTGTCTTGAGGTGAGGCGTTGGGTGGAGGACCGCGGAGTGACGTGGACCGAAGAGCTGGAGGCAGATTTGCCCCGGTCTTGGCAGCGGCATGGTGACCTTATGCTGCTTAGCGAAGACTGTTTCCAAGCCACACAGTGGAAAAGTCTAGAACCAGAACTCTGGGAGACTGTTGCCTCAGCCCTTGGAGTTCGGCGTTTGGCAAAACGAGGGCGGGTGTTGCCTGATGGCGCTCGAACTCCGTCAGTGACTCTGCTGCTTGGTGACCATGGCTGGGTAGAGCATATGGATAATGGCATCCGGTATAAGTTTGATGTAACACGGTGTATGTTCTCCTTTGGAAACGTCACTGAGAAACTGCGAGTGGCATCTCTAGCCTGTGCTGGAGAAGTGCTGGTGGATCTCTATGCAGGGATTGGTTATTTTACAATCCCCTTCCTAGTTCATGCTGGTGCTGCTTTCGTCCATGCCTGTGAATGGAATCCTCATGCTGTAGTTGCTCTGCGAAAAAATTTGGAGATCAACGGAGTGGCAGATCGGTGCCAAATACACTTTGGAGACAACAGGAAACTGAAGCTCTCAAACACTGCAGATAGGGTGAACCTGGGCCTGATTCCCAGCTCTGAAGAAGGCTGGCCCATTGCCTGTCAAGTGCTGCGGAAGGATGTTGGGGGTATTCTACATATCCACCAAAATGTGGAATCCTTCTCAGGAAAGAATCCCCAGCCACCTAGAAGCAGCAACACAGAAAAAGAACATTGGCCTCATCCCCAGAAAATCGCTGATAAATGGGGAAATGGAACTACTGGGGAAGTGGTATCATCAGTCAGCAAACCAGAGTGGCAAAGATGGGCAGAATCTGCAGAAACTCAGATCGCCTCTCTCCTTCATCAAGTGCATGGGAAAGTGTGGAGGACACGAATCCTGCATGTCCACCCAGTGAAATCTTATGCACCTCATGTGGACCACATAGTCCTAGATCTGGAATGCCGCCCCTGTCCTCTAGTTGGCTAGAAGTGGTAGATTCAGGAACACAGTGGAGCCAAATGGGCTGTAGTGCTTCATCTGGGGTGGAGTTCTCATCCTTTCGATTTCTGGTGATCTTTTTAAATGATCTGTGGCCTGAAAATGAACTTTAGACCATTCCAAATAAATTTATCTTCTCGATAAATAAATTAATTCATTTAATTTATTAAATTAAAATAACCAGTCCTGTGGGCTGGTTAGCTTGATAAAGGAAACAGACAATAGAATTTCTTCCTTCCCTGTCTTGTTATATAACCTAGGCCTGCATGTGTTGTGTGTGGCTTTTGTTCTTTTTCTTGAAGCAGTAGCAATAAAAGTCCTCTCACCAAGGAACTCACGACTTAGCCACAGAAATGTCACAAGTCCTCAGTGATGAAATAGAGTAAATGCCACATGGTAACTTGCTGGGGAGGTGCAAAAGAGAAGGAAAGTTCTGACAAATAGAAAGTCCACGTAGAAGTGTTTGAATTGGCTCTTGAAAGCTGGGTGAGATTTTGATGGGACAAAGCAGAGGTAGGCTCAGAGTTTCAGTGCTTAGGAAGTGAGCCATTGCCTTTAGCTTGTAGCAGGGCATGGTAATGTGGGTGCTGGAGAAAGGGCTGTTGTGAGCAGTGTCTTGTACGCAGTAAGCTCCCAAAGAAATGTCAACTATCCTGTGACCCCACTGCAGACGCCTACTTTTAACATTCCTCTTCCTGTGCATCAACAGCTTGTTGTATTGGAACTAAACTGCCAAGGATGCCAACCTAGGGCTTGAGTGAGTACAAGGGAGATGAGTCAGAGCAGCACTGGGGACTGAGGAACTGCCGTTTGCCATATGCTATAAACAGGCACTTGGTGTCAGATGTAGAGTTGTTCAATCTGAGTCCCAGGCAGCCTTGTTATATCACACAGCAGAGAAAGAAATAAGTACAGCCGGAAAGGCAAACCGTAGCTTCTCACAGCATCCCTTGTACCTGTAGTGGTCAGGTAAGCTAGTGTTGGCACAAAGACGAAGCAGGCATTCCAAAGAGACTGTTGAGATGTAGCCTCTAGATGGGATAACAGGGCTTTTCCTTTACTAAGGAAGTCCTTGGACAACATCAGCCCTGAAAAGTCTTTCTAATCTTTAAATTTGTCATTTAAAAAAGTAAAATAAAAAATCTGCAATCCCAGCCCCTCAACTCCAGGAACCCAATCTGTTTATGCCACAGTTGGTATTTTTTTTTCCTTATAGGCAAGAAATGTTTCTTGTATTCTGAATAGTGGATTCAATATCAGGATGACATTGACAGATAATAAATCAATAAATAGCAGTATGGTAATGTACACACTTAAAATTAAGATCTCTGAAATCAAGTTTGTTTCATTTGCTGTTAATGCTGCCATCTAATGGAGAAGCCATGGAAATTTAAAAAAAAAATCTTACACTGTGTGACTGGAAGACCTCTTACAAATATCAGTAAGACCTAGCAATGTACTGGACAGTGGAATAAAACAGTGGACAAATCAGAGCCAAACCCATACTCCATGGACCTTATACATTAGTGAAGGACCAAACTAACCAAATAGTCACACAACCCCCAAATACAACCTTTCATATAATTCACATTCTAGCAAATCCTGGGAGAGGTTCTTGGGCAACAGGAACCTATGAGTAAAAGCACATGCCTTTAATTCCAGCACTTGGGAAGTAGAGGCAGGTGGATCCCTGAGTTTGAGGCCAGCCTGGACTGTAGAGACCCTGTCTCAAAAAAAAAAAAAAGCTCCCTTGAAATATGTGATGATGGAGTTTATAAGAATAGGTGTTCTAGAATTGAGGATAATAACGTACACAAGTGTGTTGTGGAGGATTCTAGGGGGCTGAAACAAGTCTGCATGGGGGTAAAGAGAAGGGTGGAGGCAGGATGCAGCAGAGTGGATGTGGTGGCACATGCTTACGCTCTCACTGCTTTTGAAGTGGAAACAGGATGGGCAGTTGAAGGCAAGCCTTGATTACATGCAGTGCTAAATGAGTCTCCAGAGCATCTAAATAGCAGTGGGACGCTATTGGAGAATCTTAAAATGAAAATGTAACATGGTTAATATAAATTCATTAAAAGTCTCCGTAGTATTTTTCCTTTTTTTTTTTTTTTTTTTCTTCTTTTCAGAGTCTCTGCATTATCTAGCATGGTCTCAAACTTGTGATCCTCTCAGCCTTCTGAGTTCTAGAATTATAGCTGTGCACCACCATTTTCCTAGTGTTTTAAAATGTGCACACATATGTAACCCCAGTGCTCCTTTGGTGAAATGGGAGCAGGAAGCGTCCCAGGAAGATCACAGATCAGCTAACCTGGCCTATTAGGGACATTGAAAAGCTGTCTCAAACAAGGTGGGAATCAAAGGAGATGTCCTAACTTGTCCTCTGACCTTCACACATACACACGTGTGTACCTATACACAAACATACAAAATACCTACACTCGCCCCATCATCATGGTCCTTTCTCTGTCTGGACACATTTCCCACAGTTGGTAAGAAGGTACTATTAAAGGAACTGGTCTTTACTAGCATATGATGAATTTTTGTGCTAATGTTAATGCAAGTAGTGTTGACCTCATGGACGATGAGGCCAGCAGTTGGGATGTATTCCTTATTCCGTTTTCTAGAAAAGTTTGAGTAGAATTATTAGTCTCCACACTCTAATATTCCACCCTGTGAAAATAGTTGTCTTGGGATCCCAGCCTGGTCAACCTGGATTCTTTAACCCAGGCACAGCTGGGCACTTTCTCCAGACAGAGTAAACTGGAGTACTTTAGACTCTTGTAGGTTGCTATCCATGTCTCATGGATTACTATCCTTCACCGTCTATGATCAATGTGTTAACAACCATTTATATGGTTTATGGTAACTGTTTTGTACAGTTTACAGTAACTGTACAAGATTACAGTAATTGTTTTGTACATAAAAATTTCTAGTGTTAATAAAAATTTAATTTCTTACAGAAAAGTATATGTATATATACTGAACATGGAGCACATAAAAATTCTGTGCTCTAATCCTTGAGAATGCTTATAAAGTAGTGAATATTAACAATGGAATGGCATTTTTTTCCAGTTAGATATAACCTGCAAGTTTACTCAATCATTGGTCACATACAATTTCAGTAACAAAACAGAGTCTGTGGGTTTTTAAAGGTCAAAGCTTGCCTTCAAGCCAAAGGCAAACACATAATGGTGAAGGAACATGAGGTCAACACTGAATTTTGCACTCGCATACATACCCTAGCATTTGGTAGCCAAATAGACTGGTAGGTTGCCTTAATTTCTATCTTCTAGTGATTTTTGTTAAAGATCTAGGCTCACATAACTTAAAAACTGAAGAACAGGTAATGAAAATTATGAAAAATAAAGATCCCAGTAGTCACAGGCTATGGTGAAGCAGCTCTCAGCCTTGCTCTCCTGTTTCTCAACAATTTCCAATGAGCCTATATTAAAAAAAGAAGACTGCAAGACCTAGGCTGTACACACCAGCAGAAGCCGTGAGGGCATGCGCAGACCTAAGTCTTGAAGCTGCTGGACCAAAGTTGGCTTTTATGCTGGAGAGACATCAGTGCACATGTCTAGTCCTGGCATACAGTCATGTTAGCTCTCCCATCCTCTAACCAATAAAGTCTGAAGAGCTAGCTCTTTTGAGTGTGTCACAGATGGTGTGGTGTTTACTCAGTCAGATGATATGTGGCACACTGTCAGAGAAAGGACCTAATCCCCAACAGGACCAGCAGCCTGTTACATCAGTGAAAGATTTTTGGCTCCAGAAGTTTGGTTGATACAGTATCTTCATCAGACTAGAAACCAACTCTTGCACATTATTCACTCATTTCACCAAAATTATTCTAGCCCCAAAGAAGAATACTGAGTTCTGTAGGTCTCAGTGGTAAGTTGTAATTTGGAAGTCTTGGTTCTAACACATAAAGTGGATGACAAGACTGACAGGTCTCAGCGGGAGCCAGGGAATGTGAGGCTCTCTGGCACGTCCAGGCTGCAGTGTGCATTAGCCCTGTTGTCTGGGACATTCAACCCAGAAGATTCTGTGGCAAACAGTATTTGTGATAAGAATCCATGGAAGTTCATGGCAAGCCGTATAGGGAGAGTTCTAAGTGAATCACTAGTGTTCCTACAGCAAGGTCAAGTCATCTCTTCAGGAGACAGACACACAGACAAGAAAGACAAAGTTCTATGCATGACTGTGGGGACTGCATCTTGTGGACTTCTAGTGACTGTACAGTGAGCGTCCCATGATGAGCTGGGTTCTGTCAGATCAAGTCAATCCATCTATCTCATCTGGGGTTGATGACAGTGCTCATCCAGGAGAATTTCCATGGTTAGAAGAAACAAGAGGCACAGGAAGATGTTCAAACTCCAGTGTCCTGTCTGTAAATCTTCCTAGTGTCCTTCCTCAGCTCACAGTTACAGCCATTGGGAGGCCTGTATCCACTCTAAACACCATCATATGGTACTATGTCCCATGTAATAGACTACAGTGCATTTGGGGATGGTAAGTAAATATAGAATTCTCACAATAATAGACTGAATAGTGGCTCAAAATAAATTATATCCCAATATCTGGAACCTATAATGTTATAATAATGATATCAAGATATGGAAATTATCCCCAATGATCACTACATTTATTTAAGAGAGCAATGCATAATTTGAGTGAGAATGGCCCTCATTGGCTCATATGTTTGACTGAACTGTTTGTGAAAGATTAGGAATTGGGGCCCTGTTGAAGGAGGTATGTAACTGGAGATGGGCTTTGAAGTTTCAAAAGCCCATGTCATTTTAAGTTAGCTCTCTGTCTCGTGCTTGTAGATAGATGTAAGCTCTCGCTCTTGCTCCATCACCGTTCCTGCCATGGTCACAGACTCAGTATCTGGAAATGTGAGTCCCAATAAAAAGTTTTCTTTTATAAGATGTCGTGTTCATGTTGTCTCTTTACAGCAATAGAAAAGTAATTAAGGCACCCAGCCTTCAGGGTATGAAACAGCAATAGGAAATTAGCACATCCATCCCATCTCCTAGTAAGCCATGAGAAGAGCTTGTGATTCTCATTTCAACTTTGTGGGTCTAGTAATCTTGATTCCTAACATTGGAACTAGTTCATCAAAGGGAATAAAAAAATTTTAAAA